CAGATAATACTTCGATGACAGCTTACCTTCCAAATGGGTATTTGAAGGCAAATTCTTTTGACGTTCTCAGTTAATTTTTCCATTGCTCTGTTGCCACGCTTCACTGATAATTTAGGGTAATATCTTGACATCGAGCTTGTACGCCGGTTCCAGGCTAAGCTTGTGCAACACTTTTCCGGGAAATCAATCCACAAGTTGCAATATCTACCTCTCAGTGAGCAAGCTCTTGATATTCATTTAGTTTCTTGTATAATAAAATTGCGCAAGCGCAAGACGTAATACTCGGTATAATGAGTGTAACGCAATCTTTCCTTCGTCACTTCCAGACCAGGTGATTAATTTTTTTTTCTGACAGGGGAGGGAGAAAAAAGTTTTCCGACGCAATGTTGCACGCAATGCATTTAACGGTTCAATATGGCCACTGCAACAATTTAACTGAGATTTTCCATCATTATGTAAACATACACAAGACTTTTTCACGTCTTTTGTTCCAAATATTTAAACAGTAATTCATTCAATTGCTTTCGCTCAAAATACGTTTTTCTTTCAAGTTAAAACGGGACAACTTCCCGTTTTTCCCATTAGCGCACTCAGCTATTTCTCAGCTCAATGGGTGGTGGAAAATAGCTTAGAGTTCGTAACCATACCCTAGTCACTCCGCCTAGTCCCCTACCCCACCTTTGTACTAATCTTGAATTTAAAGTGAGCGAAAAAAAATGTATTTGGGGTAAAGGACGGCCAGTTCCATTTTTTTTATTAAAAGGGGGGGGGGGGAGGGGCTGGAAGATTTTGAAAACAAAAATGTGCAGGCGCAAGCGGGAAAACAAATTTCCTGCTGAGCGCAAACTTATATAAATTCCCTGAAGCATCTTAGTGACATGGATTCTAAGAAGAATGTCCACATAACAGTGCTCCCACGATTGACGTACGCTTTAGGATTTAGCGTGGTATTTGGGTCGTGATACTGTAAAACGTATCCCTATGATCACCCTCCTCCCATCCCCCTACCCCACCCTTGTGCTAACTTTCGGCTTTACCTACAAGCTTTGCAGCAACATTTTTTACAGTACACCTCAGTTTTGTCTGCATAGGCTTGTTTACGTTTGATGGCTACATCAACAGCAAAGTCAAACCCGGCGCAAATGTCTCTTAGTTTTGCAACCGATTACTTGGTCGTGTTGAGTTTCCCTCCTCAGGTCATTTCGCATAGATTATATTTATCCCACATGATGGGGTGACCGGGCAAAAGTTCCCGAGAAACCTCATTCGTCAATTCTTCGATGGTTGCCTCCTGGGTGGCACATTCAATCTCTTCTTCAAGATCATCACCGTTAAACAGAGACTTCATTGCCGCAGGTCTGGAGAAGAATCCAGCGACCTGAGATGTAGTCAGAAACTCTTGACTGCTGAACATCCATTTTCCTTGCGAGTCCACTGCAGACATCATAGAGCGCGCAACTGATGCTGGATCACTTTTTCGTCCTGACCGCTCACCTCGTTGAAAAATCTCAGTCGGGTAGTTCTTTTGCTTGTACGTAAATCTACATCTACGGGAAGCACTTGACTTTAGCACCAAGCCCTACGGTAGCATATCGTGAGAAGACGGCGGTTCTGCAACTGCGTCCAGCTCTGGAACAGCTTCGCATTGCCCCCTCATGCCTTTGAACATATCCAGCAGCAGTTCTATCCACTAGAGTATATCGCTCAAGAGCACGTTTGTGTTTTTCAAAGTGTAAATGCCTCTTCTTTGATAGATATCTCACAAATATTTTGACACAACCCTCCTCACGACAGCTGAAGATCGCTGCGTTACTGTCTTCCTCTTCGATATGGGCTGGTGGATCTCGAACTCATGCTTTTATGCGCCTCTTCTTGACAGATGTAAATGCGCTTGAGTAGGAGCGAGTAACTCCGGTAAGGGTCGGTAGGTCAGATGGGGATGGGCAACGCAATTTGTCTGTAGGGATGAGTTTGCCATCGCCGATACCATACGTCCTCCAAACTAGTAGCCCCTCTTCCTTGTACTCGACATTACTGAGCTGAGTTATACCCTCTATCTTTGAAGACAGCACCGTCGAGACCTG